AAAAAAAAAAAAAAAAAAAAAGACGAACAACCCACCCGTTTCACGCTACAGCACTTACCTTACATTTGATGAGCTTGAACAGATGATAGGACAGCATGTCCTCTTTCATCAGCATAAGACTGGGTGCCACTTTCTGTTTCAGTCCACCTGAAGACAAAGGGGCCAAATGCAACAGTGATACAAGGTTCGGTTTCCCCGTCTAATGTTTGTAATCAGTTGTGAGATTTTTACCAGTGTACAGACTGACTATCGCTCCAACAATCACAGTTGTGATGAATCCAATGACAGAGAAGTAGCGGTAAGAAGGAGAGTGCCAGTTACGTGTCAGCAGATGTCTGGTGAGAGAAAAATGGCACTTAAGCTTTTACACAATAACGAACTACAAAGTTTCTGATCACACGATATATACACCGCCACACTTACGTGGCTCCATCTTGCACTTGAGCCATGGTAAATGAATTCATCTGTGTTGGAAGATCAGTGGTCCAGTTGAGACTGCCAGGAATGGTGAAGTTACAGCCCTCTGTGCTTAGTGACAGAGGTCGAGTCATCTCAGGGTCAGCGTAAGACAGCATGGATCCGAGGCTTACAAACAGGGAAGCAGCGAACCCGAAAGCAAGACCAAACAAACCTCCCTGCAGACAGACCAGTAGCTACACAGTGAAGCTTCCATGTGGTTCACATCAGGGTAGAACTGAATTCAAATATTGTCTTCCTGTGAGTTAACGGGACTGTCCATCTCCTGCTTAAGCCTAAATAGTTTCTTTTGTGGATTTTTGCTGTGAAAGTTACTCAATTTCTTCTTTAATTCATGTGTCACTTGTAAATAGAGTCCCCCGTTGTTTAAAAGATACATACACCATGCCCCGAATTTTTAATAGACAAATCAATGTGATTTGTTATCTGCAGTTCATGGGGATACCATTTAGCCAATTTGTAATCCAGATTCATTTCTCATGTTAAGGCAATACAATGAAATCAAAGCAAGAGTAAAAAGTCGAAGACGTACCGTGGAGTTGGCAAATGGACACAGGATACCCAACACGAACAGACCAAACATAGGACTTCCACTGACCCCACTGATGATGATTCTTGCCTGTGAGAGACATCTGAATTGAAACCTTAAATGCCACACAAACATTAATGTTCCAAGTGTTTGGTAGGCCACATTTAAGATTCATGCATTATCATGTTGTAACTTGTATCAGATTCTCACTACCTGAGCAAGTAGTCCCATAAGTGATGCCAGGCCAGCCATAGAAACACACAACCCTCCGATACCGCAACCTGCAACAACATCGTGTAACAGCTGACATTTTAATCATGAAGATTTATTAACTGATTCAGCTTAAGCCTCAGTCACATACCAGTGCTCAAAGGACAGAGTTAATCATGTACACCATGTACAGTGAACAGATCAGGTACGTACTCAGTGCTCTGGAGATGTGAAGCAATTGTCTGTCAGTCAGTGTGACATTTGGCTTGATCAGGTCCTCTAGAGTCACTGCAGCCAGTGTGTTGATGATTGACGAGACTGTGCTGAGTTTAATAAAAGTTAATAAAATCTCTGCAATCATTCACGTAACATTTGACAATCATTTAACTGATGGAACCAGCTAGGAAACAAGATGCATTCAGTACAGGATGAGGCCCAGCTTTTGATGCTGGGAACTGCAACACTTTAGTAGCAAATAAAGGAGTATAAAACCTTAAGGTGCCACTGTATACTGCTGCAAGAAAGAGTCCTGGGAGGCCAGGGTAGCCTTTCAGGATATCCATGACCAAATATGGCAGCAGCTATGAAGAAACAAAGATCAACTTAGTGCTTGTAAAACCACAGGCAGATCCACTAGTACCTTAAGTGGTATCAAGTTATGACACAGAACCTCAATACCTGATCAGAAAAAGAAACTTTTCCAGCTGTCCATGGATCACAGTCCTTATAGAAAGAGTAGAGGCACAATCCTGAAAACACTGCAGATCCCAGGAACAAGGAATAACTTACCACGCTGATGAACACAGCTCTGAAAGAGACCAGGTGAAACAGTTGAAAGGATAAATTTCCATTCTGGCCA